TTGGGTGCGGCTGGCGCCAGTTCCTGATGCTTGCTGACGCCGAGGCTCGAGTTCAGGCGCACTCACAAGCTGAAATGTTGAAGTACCTTGCTGACAGGTGCTCTTCTGACGCCAGCCAGCGGAAGGGTCCTGCTTGAGACTTGCGGCTGGCGTGTGGAGGAAACCCTCACGCAAATGGATGTCCTCCTGACTGACCTGACAGCCACCAGGGCCAGGCAAGGGGAATGTTGGGTTGGGCGAGCGCCCGGCCCGTTGGCAGATCTTAGATGCTGGCACATCACATCACACTACACCACACCACACCACACCCCCGTTGGGAGGCCGTCTCCTGCGAGTTTATCTCGTGAAAACCGAACATCGGGAAGGACGGGCAAGCAGGTTGCCCGTGCTTGGATGGGAAACGCGGCGGTCCACTTGTTCGGGTCTGAGATGTCATCACATGGCCAGAAATCGTGCCGGAAAACTAGTCAGGAATAGCGGGTAGCAGATGCGCCTGAGTCGCGCGGTATCTTGGGCCAGTGATGATCTCTGTGTTGTGCGGATGGCGGGACTCGGGGGAAGGAAGGAAACGGGATTGTTTCCAAACGCACGCAATACCAGGAAATCTTGGCAATGGCGAGAGAGTCCTCCGAGGGTCCGACCCCCGAGTTCCGTGATCTTGGGTCGGGAACTCGTTGGAGTTGCAGGTTGCCACCGGCTGGCGGTGTTGGTCTGTATCGCGTGTGCGAAGAATCCGGCACGCATGTGCTTTTCTTGTGTCTATCGCGTCCGTCTATGGATATCTGGTTTCCCCACACTTTGATCTGACATGGAAAAGCAAGCAGAGTTTGGTCGGGTCAGGGCTGTCAGGACTCAGGAGAAGCGGGCAAGTGGCGGACGGCGAAGTGCAGACGGGAGGTGGTGTGTGGTGAGGGTGAGGGGAGCGGAAGGCAGCGGAGGTGTTGGAGAAAGAAGCAGGCATGGAAGTTCCATGAAAAGGCAAGAACGAATTGGACCCTTGGGCGGATCTCGTGAAAATTGCGTGGTCATTTGATGGTCATCTGGCCTGGTCTGTCACCGACTCCGTTTCTCCAACTTTGACATGTTTGGCACGTGATTCTCGATATCGCGGTCCGGTGTCGGTGATGTTCCCGTTGCTGGGAGGGAAAGAAGGGAAGACCCGGCCGCGAGAAAGTCAACAGTCCACCGGGCAAGTTGGCAAAGGGAATTAAAGAAGAGAAAAAGGACAGAGAATTGTCCACGGAAGTCTCAACGTGGCGTGGGTGACCCAACATGGTGCCTCCTGCCTCCTGAATGGCAGTTCCGTCCTTATTGTCTCGCTTTCACATGGGAAACTGAGTCCGTGCCCCAGGGTGACGTAGCAAGAAGCGAAGTCTGGACCAATGAGATGATGCGCTGGCCGTTGCCCGTGCCTGGGGCCGAATGCCGGCTAGGCGACCGTTGGTGCCTCGTGACAATGGAGAGCACCTTCTGTTAGTGCCCCTTCTGTGACAGTGTGGTGCTGCTAACATCGCCAGCTCTGCACATGTTTAGGTAACTTGGTTGTTCATCCCGTCCACTCAGATAGATGCATGTGATGGCGGCCCCAAAAAGTCTGACACGTGCTTCCCCAACTTTGGCCTTGATCACCTCAACACCCCTGAGGACCGGGCTCTTCCTTGGTGTCTCCCTCGATGGACGAGTGTGAGTGAGAGAGACGAGGTTTGTCCCTGCGATGGGTGGCCTTGGAGCTGGGAGGAAAAGAATTGACGGACTTGGAGCATTCTGGCGATCAGCAGCAAATAGTTGTCACGAATATTCCAAGACTTGTGTGGGCGCTAAAAGCAGCTGACATTCATTGTGCGGTTCCCGTCTCACTGACTGAAACCGGGGAGAAAAGCAATTATTTCCATGCGCATGGCCAATAGTCAGCGCATAAAGGTGCGGTCTGCAGATGTCAGGCCAGCGGCGCATCGTGAGACTTTTTCGAGGCCATCAGCAAACCTTGCTCGATGGGTGTATTCGTACATAGTAGCCCCATATCTACCACCGATTAACTGCCTGTCTCTCATTTAACCGAAGCACGCTCGTCGAGGTCGGCTAATATGCTCCAACTCGTCGGAGAGAATCTCTTCCTCTCAAATGATAAACGACAACGACAACGACGTCGTGCCCGTGTCCCGTCTCGATTTAGCGTCCATCGACAGCGGCCAGCGCCTCGGACCCTGCAGCCTCCCAGCGAGATGGATTAGTTTTAGGCACAGCAGGGCACGCAGACACGCAGAGCACAGCACAGCTACGGACGCGAGCCTGCAGACCAGACGCAAGACTGCAGATGGTGGGCGGCTGACCTGTCCAGAAAGGGGAACGTGGACGCGGCATAGGCTGATGATTGGATCTCTGGGGGCCCGTCACCGTCGCTACTGAAGTCCTCGGAGGCTGTAAGCCCTGGAATGTGGGCACACGAAAGGCGATCTGGTCGCCGCCGAAGTCTCTGATGTTGCACTCTGCCTGCCTTCTGGGAATGTTATCGCCCCCCACGTATCATGGGTGAGTCGGGGCAGCTGGGCAGATGAGAGGCGGGCAGAATTCCCATTGGAATGTCACCAATGCCGACGATGGTGCTTCTCGTATCGACGAGAGACGAAGAAGTATCTGATAGTGCCTCCCTCAGAAGCATCCCCCACGACGACGATGATGATGATGATGAAATATCAAAAAGCCGAATCCACTTGACCAAGATTAAAAAATAAAATAAAATAAAAACAGCAGTTGGTTGGGGCCAGTCCCAATTCGGCGGTCTCCAGCTTCCATCATCTGGAACTTTGGGGCCACCGGGTACCTGGAGCCCCCGCTGATGATGCGCCCATGTTGAGGTACCTTGTTTAGCCCTGTTTCTTCACCTCAGCCGGGGCCGGCACGAGGACGAGGGCCGGGAAGGCACCTTGGGTCCAGTATCTTCGCTATCGCGCCTGCTCAATCAATCACCGACGGGACGGGAGTCGTCGCTTCCTTTCCTTACAGTGTGGTGGACATGGACATTTCCGTAACGTACCCTTCCCATCTCACCCCCAATTATCATTTTCACATTCACATTCAATCATCGACAAGTCAACCCGTCATCCGTCCCTCCCTCTCACTCGCACACCACACAGCAAAAAACACACGCTGGGGAGAGACACTGCAGCACAGTACCTTACTCTCCGTCCCATCCCATCCATTCTCATCCCATCTCGGGCGTCTGGGGGAAGAATTCGACACCAGCCATTCGAGCAAACCAACACCAAACAAACTACGGATATACTCCAACAGGCGACCTAGCATCTGGCGCTACTCGACGGACGGACTCATCCTCCCACCACTATACCATACCATCCATCCCGAGCCATCCACACATCCATTTTCTTCCCCCCACCAAATCCAAACCAAACCAACCCAGCGCGCCGCCAACCATCAACCATTATCCATCCGCCATCATCCATCCACTCGGCTGTACCCCGAAACTTGTCTCCTCCCGCCTGCCTTGTTGTTGGTGGAAGTGAGGTGGAATCCGCCTTGTCGTGTACGCAGTATCCGTACTCACTCGCAGTACCTACCTTACCGTACCAGCGTGCCGACAGAACAGATCCTTCGCCACTTTCGCCCAAACCGTACTACATGAACCTCTGTTGCGCCGCCGGCAGCCACTCTCACCCCTTCTCCTCTCCCTCGCTCCCAGTCTGACCCGTCCCGCGCGTCTGCTTCTGCGTCTGTGCCTGTGTCTACCTCTGCACACGCCCTCCCGAAGCCCGAGTCTGAGCCAAAAAGCCAGAGTCTGAGTCTGAGTCTGAGTCTGAGCCTGAGCCTGCGCCTGAGCTCCCAACCTTGTCAGCACTCACCACCACTCACCGGGAGGGAGAGAAGAAAAAAAAAAGAGACAGAAAGAAACGCCAACAACAACAGAGCAGCAAAGAATTCCTCGGCCATCTCAATCAAACCAAACGGCGCCGGGCGAGTCATATCTCCACTCATGCCAGTCCAGAGTTGACCACTGAGACACCCGCGCGCCGGTCTCGCTCCTGGTCCTCGTCGTCGATTTCCGTCCTCCCTTTCGACTGGGAACTCCTTGGATTCTTTTGGCGGAGGGCAGCGGCATCAGCAGCAGCAGCAACACACAATCAGCAGCAAAACGGCAGCACGACCTGTGGCTGCCGGCCCAGAGTCCCTTGCGTCGACCCCCCTCCTCCCCGCCAAAAAAGATATTCGGCGCGCCGTCTGATTATACTTTGCTCTGCGAAATGGACTTGAGCCAGAACAGCAGAAGCCAGAGCCAGAGCATGAGCCAGAGCATGAGCCAGAGCATGAGCATGAGCCAAAACCAAAATCACATGCTGCACGGGCCCAACTCTGGCGACCGCCAGCTGCCGCCATCTTCCTCGTCCGTCGCTACTCCCACCACCACAAAGTCACACACCCATTCTCGCGCTACTTTTTCTCTCGTTTCTACCACCAACCCTTCTACTATTACGTCTACCTCTGGTACTTCTTCAACAAATAATACCGCCTTCTCCGCTTCTACTATTCCGTCGTCCACGAACAAACACGCCCTCTCTCACCCTCGCTTCGACACGGCACACATCTCGTCCCAGCAGCTGCCCTCATTCGCTCCCCCGAGCTATGCGCATGTTCAGTCCCACGATCCCAACTTGCTGAGGTTTCCCGACGCCCCGACTACCGAGCTCGCACCCATTCTTCCCGCCGCCAAACACAATGATAACGTCCCTCACAACTTGCCATCTCTCTCTTCTGTAACAGGTCCCCCTCCGCCTCCGCGCTTTGCACCACCACCACCACCAACACCGTCGTCGCAATCGATCGAACCACAACATCGTCACCAACATCAACCACAACCACAACAACCTCCGCCTGCTCTTACTCGAGCCTCCACGACAACCGTTCCGCTTACTCACTGGCCGAGCCTCAACCCCCTCACCACCTATTATACCCCCAGTCATGCTCAGCCTGCCCCCTCTTCTGCGAGAATGGACCTCGACATAAGCAACAACAGCGCCATGAGCGCCGCATCGCCAGATCGTTATTACGAAGGACGAGCCGCCAGTGTTAGCCTCGATGACCCCGATGTGCGAATGGCCGCCGAGGCTCTCGGTGACCTGCGAGCCGGTATGGATCAGTTGCCCTTCAGACGCAACAAGACGTTTACTTGACTAACACGGGAATACAGACTTCATCAACTCACCACCAGCCCGTCATACTCCCCTACCGAGAGGCTCCCCGGCAGTCTCCATCACGTCGAACCCGCAAGCGAAATCTCTAAACCCTGCCGAAGAGCCTCTGCTCTCCCTCCTGACGACATCCCACCCTCTCATCGCCAACACCATCGAGGGTGCGACTTCAGCCTACAATAACTCCAAGAACTTCTCTCCTCGCTTCAAATCCAGTGCCGAGTATGTCGAAGGATACCTGACGCCAATTGCCAACACCGTCGGCACTGTTGGACGGAAGACGGGTGTGGAAGGGGGTGTCCGTTGGTTCTTGGGCGCTGGTCGACGACACCAGTCGACTGATCTGGAGGCTGCCGATGGAGGATCTCACAAACGCCGCAAGGTCGACACGGGAGGGGATTTGGCCAGGCTCATGGCCGACTCGCAAACAAATGTCATGCCCGACGTCGACTCCCCTCGAGATCCCTGGGTGTTCAAGCACGACCGCCGCCTGTCTCGGGCCAGCACTATCGATTCTCTGCCGGCCTATGACGACTTCCGCTCGCCTGCGTACGCCGAGAACGAGAAAGCCGAGAGACCCACCAGCTCTTCCAATGCCGCTTGGCAATCTCGTCTCATCATGTCCACCTCGGGTCTCAGCGTCGCAATGAGCGAGGAAAGTCTACGAAGTCTGAAGTATTGCTTGAGTCTGTTGCGTTGGGCTAACGGCCATCTTGGCGGTGTTATCAACAGCCTGAAGTCTGCACTTGAACAGTACGAAAAGGCTGGTCAGCCGGAGGAGCAGCTTGAGGCCGGGGCTGATGGCGATCACATGATGATCGACAGCCAGACCGACTCGTCGGAACAGGAGAAACGCGCAGAGTTGTCCCGCCAGATCGACAGCTTCAAGGGCGACATCCTGAAGACTCTGAAGACCTGCATCACTACCTTATCCAAGTATGCCGGAGGCGCCCTTCCCGAGAATGCGCGCAACTTGGTTCGCCGTCACCTGACGACTCTCCCCCAACGCTTCCGCTACGCCAGTGCTGTCGAAAAACAGCAAGGTGACAAGTCTGACGACGAGGCGGGAGACAAGGCGAGGCGCGAGGGAGCTCAACGTGTACTTGTTCTCGCCAAGGAGGGCCTCGACATGATGTTCCAGATCAGCGGTGTTCTCGACGGCACTATTGTCAGCGCCGAGGAGTGGTGCGAGCGACTTGGCAAGAAGAGAAAGGAAGACTCCGAGTCTGATCTCCCTCAGTCTCAACCCTACGAGGGGGACTTCAAGGTCGCCCCCGCCTAAACGAGCAACGATTTATTTTGTATGTGGTCAGGATTCATTGGATGAAAGGTTGGCTGGATTTACCCTTTCCTTTTTCTTCAAAACCAAGTGGGTGATTGAACGGCGCAGAAATGGCACACGGAAAAAAAGAAAATCAAGAGAAAACCCCCCGGACACGCTGCTGCGGCAGACACAAGACACTATGATACCATCCCGAGGACAACCTCATTCCCATTTCACTTCAAGTATACCATATCATCACATTTACACACAAACAACAAAACCTCCACGGACATTTTTCTTGCTTTTTTAAGTCTTGTTTGCATCCGTTGATTTTTTAGCAGTTCGTCTTTGTGGTTGCCACCCTCCTGTCTATCTGTCTTCCTGTCTCAAGTATTAATGGACGATCTACAGAGTACGGGGCGTCTCTGAACTCGAGCTCACTTGAGCTAGATTGGGTTCTCTGTGTATAGAGCTTGACATCGTCTTTGTACAAAGCAAAGTTTCGTTTCAAAATATGCTACCATGTTCCCAATTCTCTCGCTCGTCTGCTGCCACTGCCTTTTCTCCGTTGCTTGTGATTCGAGACGTCATGCGATCAACAAGCAGAGGTCTTCCAAAAAAGATCAAACTTTGACAGCCAGAAGCGCATACTGCGGATGAAGAAAGCTCGAAATCCCACTACCCACCTCGGGACGCTTCGTGCCGCCAATCTTATTTCCACCACATTGACGGCCAAACACCATCTGATCTACCGCACGTACATAGCTCCGCGCGTGCGGTCAGCCCGGCACGGACTATTCGAGCTAATTCCCACTGCGGCAACCCGAATACGGGAGTCTGAAAGTGCGAACGCGACAAGCTCATCTAGGACGGACGGACGGCATACCGTCACAATTGCCGTTGAACGACTGGTCGGGTACCCAACGCTGAACGACATACCCGTCGCCGTATACCCGTTGCGACCGAAGCTTTGGTCCCCTGAGGCCGTGCTTGTGATAGGGCTGAGCGGCCGTTTTTCCTACCGCTTGTCTTTTTCCTCCGTTTGATGGGCCGCCCTTGGACCTCATCCGAATGCGCTTTTTCGCCCCTATTGTACGTTATTTGTCTTGGGGGGTAGGTCATCCCGTGTGGTCCTCAGGCCCTCAGACCGTGTCATTTGTGATCTCCTCCGTCGTGATGCGTAATCCCGGGGGTGGACCGCTCGTCTCGTCGTGTCGAGATGATTAAGAGGGTATACGCTTGGACGTAATCGGTTAGAAAAAATATGGGTAAAAGGGGGTAAAGATACATATAGTGTCGAGATGATGTGCGTAGGGCGCGCGGCACATGTTTGTCGAGTGAAGTAGAAATATTGCAGCCGAGTTACTTCTTGAGGGCAACTGAGTCTGTTGTTATGGCTGGGGAAAGTCCGACGATGGCGAGGATCGTCGAGACACATGCCGAGCTTTCGGAAATCGACGCCGGGTGCGTTTGGTGGAGTCGACGAACATGTGGTCTGTTCTCTGATGTTGTCTACTGGAGCAAAACTTATTAGATGATAAGGGTGCATCATATCGGCATCGATTTCCGTGTCGTGGTGACGTCTTCGTCGAGGGTTGTCGTTAGTGTAGACGTAGAAAGTACTCTAGTCTGCTCCATGATTCGCCCGTCTACCTCCTTTCTACCTTGAACCTTCCTACAGCCAGCTAGGTGGAATTCCACGTGCTCAAGTCCCCGTTGGAGATGCAGCCCGAAAGCACTCTGAGATTTAGATGTCCTACCCTACAGCCCATATGCTCGTTGCTCAGCGATGCCACATATCTGTCCAGACAAGGTGATATTTCACAGTTGGATTATAGCCTTACACTATAGCACAGCAAGTCCCATTTTACATGTTTGACTACTGTATGATATCTCGGTTTGAACTTCGCTCTTTGTCGGCATGTATTCGCATCATTCAGGGACCCTGTGTTTGGGGCAGCGATCACATTTTGTCCGGACGTGGCTTTTTGATTTCTACTAATAATCTGAACTTGGTTCAATGAGCGAAGAGAAGAAAGAAATCACAAGCAGTGTATAACATAGCAACTATTCTCCCTTTACCGATTAGACGAAAGCGTGAGTGCTGTTTGGATCCTACCGCTTCCAATCCCACCAAAAAGCCATCGTCGAGAGCTGATCTACTTCTCGCCCCAGCTTAGAACCTTGTCGAATTTCATCTCAGGGACAGCGGCAACTCTGCCAGTCGAACCCTTGGCGATGACCTTGTCCTCCTCCTCGGACCAGCACGCCCCGCCCTCGACGTCCTCGCAGAAGGGACAGACCGTCTTGGTGGGCATGTAGCAGAACATGCGCTCCTCGAGAGACATTAAGCTGGGACCGACCGACCCGCCGGCCCCGCAGAGGCCCGAGGCCGTGTGCTTCGCCTGTTTGCTCTTGACGAGGCGCGTGTCCTTTTCGAAGCGGCGGGCAAGGCGGGCGTGCTGCTTGTCGACGGCGCGGCGTTCCTCGGAGCGGGCGGACGAGGACGAGGTGGAGGGCTGTCGGCTGAAGAGGTCACGCTTGCGGGTCCATAAGATGACGTCGGAGGGGTCGGGGTCCTCGGTGAGTCTCAGGACGGGGTCGTTGTTGCAGTAGTAGTCGAGGTCCTTGGTGCCGGCGTCCTTGGAGTACTCGGGCCAGTGGACCTGGATGCCGGTGGTGTCGACGTCTCCGTTCTTGTCGACCCAGGCGCAGAAGACGGTCTCGTCAGGGCCGTCCTCCGCAGGGACGTATATGTCTGAGTAGTACCTGGTAATGTGATGTTAGTGGCATCTAAAGAATTAACTGGGGAATTCGGGCTACTGACCAGTTACCGCCTCTTCCGTAGGCTTCGTCACAACTCTGAGCCCAGTTTCCAATCGTATTGGCGTAGTTCTGGCCACTCGGGAAGGTCACGGAAGCCCAGGAAATGCAAATGGCATCGTCGTTGCCGGTGAAGAGGGTGTAAGTGGGTTGCTGAACCACATCCGAGACGCTCGTCTCGCGAAGGTCGACACCATTCTCACACTTGTTGTTGTCGTTGGTGGTGATGCCGAGGAACCCGCCCTGCTCGTTCCAGCAGCGCACATCGGGGATGTTCCCGCCGGCGTTGCTCAGGGGCGGATCGCCAGCTCCGTCGAGACCGATCTTGAAGGCGAACTTGGCGCTTGGGTTGTCGGGCTCGGGGAACATGTCCTTGAGGAAGGAGAAGATGGTGATGACGCTTCCGACGACGCCGATAGCGGTAGCCATGTTGAGTAGTGGTAAACGACGGTCTGAGGCTTTCAAAGACGATCTGAACTTGAAATGATGCGTCAGAGACAAAGACTGGCGGGCCAAGAGGTTCTCCTGAGGTTGTTGTGCGATTGTCACCGGAAGGTCTTCTTGAGTTGCTGATTTGAGAGAACAAAGGTAGTGGAATAGGGGCTTCTTATAATCGATTCATGAGATATTTCGTTTTCTCCCACAAGGACGCCTAAAGGTTCGGTTGGTTTGTTTCTCTCGGTTCTTCACGCCTTCGGTCCATTCAGTCCGCCATCAAATCGCTGATTTCGGTGATACTGCTCGGGTCCAGTGACCTTGGCTGTTCTGACCGAGGGGCACCATCGCGAAGCGGCTTAAATGGTGGATTGCAACTCGCCCCCAACTGATACTAGGCAAAGGGGCACGGGGGCTGCCGTAACAACTCCAAGGCCTTGTCGTGACGCACCTGGCTGCCTGATTCTCGACTTGATCTTTGACCCCTCCTGAGGCGTATCCGCGTAGATGAGAATGAAATGGCTCTGGGCAACAACACAGCTGACTCTGGGAACTTTGACATGGCTTCATAGCCGCGTGTTTCCGCTCCGCCCGGTTCCCTTCAGCCTTAAGCTTCCAAGTCTGTCTCGGCCTTGCCATGAAGATCGAGATCTTGACCAAAGTTGGAATTCGGTTTGTCTGCGCCAAGTCAGTAGATAATCCTACAATGTGTTGAGCCTGCTGAAAACTCCTCCAAGCTTCCGAAAGAAGAAGAGTCTGGCCTCAAAACTTGGCCAGTTGGGCTTCAAGTCATTCACCTTGGGAACTTCTGTAGAAGGAGCTGTTAATGGGCCGCAACATATCTAGAAAATGTTCAACCCGTAAAGGAATCATTACACCTGCCAAGCGAATTAGAAGAGAACCAACTCGTGCAGCCTAAACCTATGATTGGACAGAGTTAATACGACGGAATTTCAAAGTAACCATCCAATACCCACTTGTTCAGGCAACAACAGAATGTTGGCACACTGGCACGCCGCACACATCGAGAACGACTCAGCGCCACTCATAGCAGATGCTCAGATGGGTATTCGAACAACAACTATCACACTTCTTCTTTGACGAATAAGTCTTCGCGACGATTCAGAGCTTGAACCAGTATCAGTTGATGTTGTTGTTGATGAACAAAATAAGTTCAAGATGTCTCCAGGGCTGACGGACTGTTCAACATTACATTGATCTCGACAGCTTCTAAAAGAACATTTGAAACTGAACTATTCCATAAAACGGAACTCACCGCTCGATATACCGCCTTACACAAGCCAGGAGGCCTCAGAGCCTCCTGATAGGTGCACGTGTACGGACAAGAACGTGGATCCAACTGTCTATCTACTTACCTGAAATGGGCGGGCGGCTGCATATTACTGCCTGCATCAGTAACCATGGGTCGAAACGCCCGACGTCAAGGAGAATAAGACTAGATCAAGCTATCCGATAGAAGATGGACGCTCGAATTACGCTTTCAGACGTTCCTCTGCCCCTTTGACCACCTCCGATACGGCGAGATTCCGGGTGAACTGTTTGTTCGAGGCTACAATGTTGCCCAAACGGGGACGTTATGTGACCAAAATGGATGGGTTGCAAGGGGCTATGTCGATCGTTTAAGCAATACGCTCGCGATGGTGGCTGACCTCAAATGGGAGCGGCGCGGAGAAAAGGGAGCGGGACGGGCCAAGAGCCAAGAGTTGAGAGCCAAGAGTCAGGACGGAATCCGCCTTGCT